AATTGATTGTTTACAAAGAGTAAGGGAGAGGGATAAAGAGTTAGAAACATCGATGAGAGAGAAACATCAATCAGCTGCCTCCTGCTCATTCCCTACGGGGGAGGTGCCCGCAACCAAGGTACATGCCCTTGACCAGAATTGAACCTGGGACCCTTCAGTATTGATTTTTAGAGAGAGGTAGGGAGTTAAAAAAAAAGAAAGAAACATCAATGAGAGAGAAACATTGATCAGCTGCCTCCTGCACATCTCCCACTGGGGATGTGCCCGCAACCAAGGTACATGCCCTCAACCGGAATCGAACCTGGGACCTTTCAGTCCGCAGGCCGACGCTCTATCCACTGTGCCAAACCGCTTTCGGCAATAAAATATACTAATTGTCATGCCAACTGCCTATGGAAACTGGGCTTCCGTGGCAGAAATACATGCACCGAGATGATATTTAACTGTTTCCTCTCTCTCTCTCCTATCCTCCGCTCCCTTAGGACCCCTGCGGGCGCCTGAGTGAGCGCAGCCCCTGCCCGGCGGGGCCATGGCGAGCATGGCCGTGCAGCTGCTGGGCTTTCTGCTCAGCTTCCTGGGCATGGTGGGCACGCTCATCACCACCATCCTGCCGCACTGGCGCCGGACAGCACACGTGGGCACCAACATCTTGACGGCCGTGTCCTACCTGAAAGGGCTGTGGATGGAGTGTGTGTGGCACAGCACGGGCATCTACCAGTGCCAGATCTACCGCTCGCTGCTGGCGCTGCCCCAGGACCTGCAGGCGGCCCGCGCGCTCATGGTCATCTCCTGCCTGCTGGCGGGTGCGGCCTGCGCCTGCTCCGTGGTGGGCCTGAAGTGCACGCGCTGCGCCAAGGGCACGCCGACCAAGGCCACGTGTGCCGTGCTGGGCGGCGCGCTCTTCATCCTGGCCGGCCTGCTCTGCATGGTGGCCGTGGCCTGGACCACCCACGACGTGGTGCAGAACTTCTACAACCCGCTGCTGCCCAGCAGCATGAAGTTCGAGATCGGGCAGGCCCTGTACCTCGGCTTCATCTCCTCGTCCCTGGCGCTCATCGGCGGCACCCTGCTCTGCCTGTCCTGCCTGGACGAGGCCCCCTCCAGGCCCTACCCGGCCCCGCCCCGGGCCGCCACCGCCACCGCGCCCTCCTACCGGCCGCCCGCCGCCTACAAGGACAACCGGGCGCCCTCGGTCACCTCGGCCTCGTACAGCGGGTACCGGCTCAACGACTACGTGTGAGACCCCAGGGCCTGCACCTCCCTGAGCCCAGGGGGCCCGGCACCCAGGACCCGGGCACTAAGTTTACGTCTGGGCTGCTTCTGTGCCCAGCATGTGGGCGTGATGGGCTGGGAACCAGGGAGGAGGGAAGTGAGAGGAGAAACGCTGTTATACCAAAGACTACAGAAGTCCTCCTGGCTTTGTATTTATTCCATGTATTTATGTGGGTGACGTGAAAGCAGCCGAGGCAAGAGCACCGTGGGGGTTGGTCCGTGGATTTGTCTGCAGGACGGGAATAAACCTGTGGGCTGTGGTTGTTTCTGAAACGCGTAGTCTCTGCTTCTGTTCGCGGAGGCGCTGGGAGCCGGGCGCTCTGTGGGGCTCCGCCTCGGAAAGCCCGGGAATCGCCCAGGAGGGGCAGGGCCACGCCTGGCAGGAGCAGCACAGGAGCCCGGGCGCGTCTTCATCCAAAACACGCCCGGCCGGTGTGGCTCGGGGTGGGGCGACC